CCTTAGGGATCCAGCGCCCACCCTGTCCCTGCTCCAACCCCCGAGGGAAGGGTCCCCCGCGCCTCACCTCGATTGTGGACGGAGCCCCGAAAACCCACTGGCGTCCCCGAGTCAGTCCTGGCGTCTGGGCCGGGGCGAAGCTCACTGCTGTCGTCCGCACGTGACCGCCTCCGGCAAGATGGCATTAGCAAGGGAACGGACGGAGCGGCGGCCCGATCCCAGATGAGCGCGTGTCGCCGCTGGAGAGGGCTGCGTCCGCCCGCTCGGCCCCCGTCTGCGCTCTGGCGCGTCCTTTGAGACCTGAAAGGGCACTCAAGTGCCCCCGTCTGCTAAGTCAGATTCGGGCCCTGGGCGCACCCGGGTCCTTGGCGCACCCGCCGTCTCCCGGCTTCCGCAGGAGGCGCCCTGTAAATCCGAGTTTTCCGGCCGTTCGGGGCCTCAGCGAGGGGGCACGGGACGGCTGCCGAATTGGGGCAGGAGAGCCGAGGACCCGGGTCGAGACAGAAGCTCCAAAGCGGCTGCATACCGGCCCCGAAACCGGAGGTGCCCGCGGGCGGTTGTTCCCCGAGCTTGCCCCTTACCCAGCGAGAGCAGGTGCCGGTCGGACATCCCCATCCCCACCTGCTCTGGAAAGTTCCCTCCAGAAGGGAGCACCAGCGCCGCCGGATCCAGGAATGTCCGGACTCCTGAGCCCTGGGAGGGGGGGAGGGAAGAGGAGTCTCCGAAAGGTGCTGGTGGCTTTTGCCTTTCAAGAAGGAGGAGGCGCCCACCGCATAAAAGAGGTCTTGGGTGCCAGGCGCGGGCTCAGGCCACTTCCCACTGACCTCGCCTCTGCGCTGGGAAATATCACCCCACTTGACAAACTTGCTCAAAGTCCAGATATTTTATTTTATTTTACCACCACTGAAAAGAAAACATGGCCACCGGAGAGAAAGAAAATGTAAAAAGAATAAAGTATCCATAATACTACTACAGAATGCAACTTTCACTTACAAAACATCCCATCCAAGTAGGCGTTTACATTGTTGCAACTACACATTCTCTATTCTTTGCTACTCTCACGTTTTTCTTTTGATTCCTTTTTAAAGTGTGCAGATCTCCTCGTCCATTCACTCAGTCTCCTCATAAGGTATATTTGGGTTTTTTTACCATTGTTTGCTAATAAATGCTGTAACTCTGCACTTGGGACAAGTTCCTGGCAGCCAAATATCCAAGTGAAAGGCGAAGAAAGGGCCGAGTGGTCTTGCTCCTCAGTGCCAAAGGACTTTCCCAAAGAACTGCCCCGCTCATTCTGCCACTTCCCAGGAACAAGTGTAAGGACCTTGGTATCTATTTGCACACATTGGTTACCATCTCATTTTTCCTTATAATTTATGGATCTAAATATTGGTTCTTTAAAATAGAATACTTGGGCATTTCTTATATGACTTTAAAAATGAATGTTTTTCATTCGTTTACTATCTATATTCCCCTTTCTGTGAATCATCTGTTCATATTCATTCATCTGTTGGGGACTCAAACCTCTTCTGTGACTAAGTATTTTTTTATAGTATAGCTATTATTCCTGCATCATCAATGATGCAAGTATTTCCCAGCCGTTGTTCATTGTTGTTTTATTTTAATGTTCAATCTGTCATTCTAGTCCTTTGTGATTTTTTTTTACTGATTCAATGCTGACAAAGTGAGCTTTCTTCCACCCATCTGACAGTTTATTTTCTGCTGGTTTTCTACAATTTCACTTAATATTTAATTCTTTGATGATTATCCACCCCAAGTTTACTGTGTGGAGTAAAATAGGGATTTAACTCACCCCCAGCATCACCAGTTTTTATTGCTTATGCAGTCCTCATTTATTAAATAATTCTTCCCTTATCCTTCTTCATTTAGTAAAATCTACTTTTATGCGGGGCTTTTGATGTTGCTTGATCTATTTATGAAGTCTCCATTTCCTTTCATAAACCTAAGTTTGAGCCCATACCATATGGATCTAAATATTGGTTCTTTAAAGTAGAATCAAACATGTCCCGATTCCCCCTCATGGAGACTTACTTAGGGTAAACTTGATGTTCACACTGGTTTGTGTGTCTATACACCTGCAGAGGTTAAGAGTGATGGCTTTGGAGATGGGGCCTCCATGTTCAACACTTACCAGCCCTGTGACCTTAGCAAGTTACTTACCCCGTCTATAGGCCTTTGGGTCTGAGTCTATAAAAATGGGAGTAAGGATGACAACTGTGGCACAAGCTCAATCCTGAGCATGTAGTAATTACCAGCTATTATTACTGATATTTTTAGTTCCCCCAAAAGTGAACATGGAGTTGCATTAGATTTCTAAATTAAACCCTGACCAGTTTGGCTCAGTGGATAGAGTGTTGGCCTGTGGACTGAAGGGTCCCAGGTTCGGTTCCGGTCAAGGGCATGTACCTTGGTTGCGGGCACATCCCCAGTAGGAGGTGTGCAGGAGGCAGCTGATCGATGTTTCTCTCTCATCGATGTTTCTGACTCTCTATCCCTCTCCCTTTCTCTCTGTAAAAAATAAAATAAAATAAATTTTTTAAAAATTTTTCTAAATTAATTTAAACAGATCACATATTCTGTAATATTTTATTTCCCCAACCAGGACATGTACTATCTTTCAATTCAAATATTTTTTTATTTCTTTACTTTAATCCTCAGCCAAGGATATGTTTTTATTGATTTTTAGAGAGAGAGGAAAGGAGAGAAAGAGAGAGAAACATCGATGTGAGAGAGAAATACCCAACTGGGGATTGAACTTGAAACCTAGGTATGTACCCTGACTGGGAATGGAAGCAGCAACCCGGGACAACACTCCAACCACCTGAGCCACCCAGCCAGGGCTTGAAATATTTTTAAATTCAGACAGAAGCCAGTTTTCTTGTTGACTCGTGCTTCTCTCCATTGCTCACCTCTGTGACCCTTAAGGAAGAGGAAGAGCAGAGGACCACAGGGAACAGTTGAAAACCACCCTTTGAGAGTCTGCCTTGTGCCGGGCGAGGTGTAGGTGCGTGTACTCGTGCACGAAATCTCCTCTAGCCCTTGCAACATCCCTCAGGTTAAGTTACGGCATTCCCTGTGGACAAAGAGCAAACGGGGTGCTTCCAGGTCGCCTGAGTGAGAGACAGAGCTGGACCACAGCCCAGGCGTGCCGGCTCCTCTACCACCATGCGTCTTGGAAATTCAAGGTGGGAGTTCAGAGCAGAGGCAGCCCCCAGAGGAGCCTGGAGACAGCGGACTGCTGGTCATGGCCCACCCCTGCTTGAAAGCCTGCCACGGCTTCCTGTCGCGTTGTGAGCACGTCCAGGAGACTTACTCTGGCCTGTGAGACTCGCTCTGCCCACCCTCCAAACTCACCTATTACCACTCACCTGCCTTGCTGACTGGTTCAGCCGGACCTGTTCCTTTCCACCCCATAAGTATATGAAGGTCCTTCCCACCTCAGGGCCCTTGCACACACTGTTCCCACTGCCTGGCACACTCTCCATCCCACCTGCTCCCACCTGCATGCAGTGGGTTCCTTCTCACTGTTCCAGTATCTGTTTAACAAGGTGGTCTCAGAGATACTCCCCTGGCCACGGCACCTCCCTCCCACAGTCATTTCCTTCACAACTGTGTTTATGATTTATCTGTGTTGTGTCACCTTGTCTGGCCCCACAGCGCCTGACTCACTTACCATGAGGCTGGCCCTTTCCCTGACAGGTCAGCTGGCAGCATCCAGGACCACAGGTTGGCATACCCATGAGTCACCCTGGCCATTCCCATCTCTGTCTCCACTTCCTACGGTCTCTGTGGGGTGGGGGTTAGACCCCTTCTCCTCACTGACCAGGGCGGGGCAGTGTTGGACCATCTCCTATGAATCCCCTCTTCCCTGAAGCCTTGCCTGCTACCTCCGATCAGGCTGCTCTCTGCGGGTGGGAGTCGACTCAGGGCCTTGCTCTGAATGAAAACGTAAGGGCCAGCCCTGGACCCTGGGGGCCCGTAGAGCCCTCGGCCAGGACATGGGCTGTTTTCAAACCAAGAAGAACTTAAGTTCTGCAGACCTCCAGGCCCTGTCATCAATCAGTGTCCCTCCTTGTCACTGAGGTGAGTGTCCCAGCTCCCTTCAATCAGCCCAAGTGAGGCGAGTCACACAGTAACTCCTCAGACTAATTATCCAAGTGACCCCCACCCAAGAGTCACTGCCCACCCAGTGCCAGTCTCCACTACAGCCAGTCCACGGTGCCGCCCTGGTGGCACAGGCCACTGCCACGTGTCTCCCAGACCCCGGCCCTGCTCCCTCCACGTCTTGGCTCCTGCAAATCTCCCCGCCAGGCATCCTCTCGCTTATGCCATGTGGTCAGGAAAAAAGCAGTGAGCACAGAGGCAGACAGCGTAGGGTCAAGTCCAGATTTAGTCACTGCTTTTTTATGACACCTTTAGGGGCCCCTTTCCCTCTCTGAGCCTCAGTTTCCTCATCGCTATAAAATGGAGGTGAAGCCACCTGTCTGGCCAGGTCCTGAACATCCAAGGACATAATCTCTATAAACACTCTTTGCAAACTGTAAATTTCTCACAACAGAATGATGAGAAATAATTGGCCTGGTCCCAAAGCCACCTCCTCCAGGGGGCCTCCGCCTCCCTCCCAAGACCCCTCCACTTCCTTCTAGATCAGAGGTTCTCAACCTGTGGGTTGCGACCCCTTTGGGGGTCGGATGACCCTTTCACAGGGGTCACCTAAGACCATCAGAAAACACATATATAATTACATATTGTTTTTGTGATTAATCACTATGCTTTAATTATGTTCAACTTGTAACAATAAAATTGGGGGTCACCACAACATGAGGAACTGTATTAAAGGGTCGCGGCATTAGGAAGGTTGAGAACCACTGTTCTAGATCAACCTGAGGCACTTAGCTGGCTCCCTCCCCCCACAGTCGTCCACCTTGGGAAAGGCACAGTCCCTCCCCCGACCCCCACCCCATGCCCATCCTTGATCGCCACAAGCCCAGGGCCATACCCCACTCATTCCCAAGGAGCTCTCTGCCTCCACAGCTCTCCTTTCCCCATTCATGGAGGAAAAAATAAACTAACGGGCACAATGTTCTCGATTTTATATTATTGGGCCATGAAGTTTTCTTAAATCTTTTTTGCACCTTCCACTTCTCTGCTAACAAAAGCTTACAGGCACCAAACAGGTACCAAGGATGTGGAACTCAGCAATGCAGGGGAAACGGGGCTGGGGTTCTCTTCGGGGTGCTGATAGGTTCCTGTGGTGATGGTTTCACAACTTGGTGATATACTAAAACCCACGGGACTGTACGCTTTAAAAGGGTGGATTTTATGGTACGTGAATCGTATCTCAATTGGAAGTTGTATGAGAAAAGCAAAGGCTACAGTGACTGATGTGAGGACACAAACTGGTGGCTTGGTCAAATGCGGCCCATCTGGTGCTTTGCTTGACCAGCACGGTGCGGGTTTTTCTAATGAGCTCCTGAGTGCCGGCCGGGAACCACCACAGTCAGGACACACAGTGTCCGTCAGCCCAGCCCCTCCAGTGGCTTCCTCGCCCGCGGGCAACCATCGGTCTGGCCTTGATCTCCACAGGTTAATTGTGTTTGTTTTTAAATTAGTTATAGCGTAATACTCGGCTGTGTCTGGTTTTTAAATTCATCCACATCGTTAC